CTTATCTTCCATTGGAGCTACTCCAACCTTTTTGTCGTATATGCTCATTTCGTATCCTATCTCTAAGGGTAAAGCCACTCATCCACCTGAGCATCCTCATCTCTGCCACACTTAACTTAGTATTATACTTATCTTTTAATGGCCAACATTCGGCAACATAAAGCATTGCAGGCCTCACTACCAACTTATAGAAAGCATGAAAAAAGAAAAATGATTAGGGTTCAATTCACCTCCGGCGAACGGAGAAAGAGCTGAGCCTGCCAGAAGGGGAGAACATGATGAGCGCGATATCTATATCGCAAAGAAAAGAGAGCTCATAAGCTTTCTTGATGAGGCCATTGAGTCGCTTCGAAAACGTCACTTGCCTATTTGTATTGTTCTCAATTTTCTTTATTTCCAACTTCACCCTACCCATTCTTATACGTCTTTCTAAGAAAAGAAAATCGCGTTTCGAAATCGCTTTTTTGAGAAGAGCTGCCAAGTTTTAGATCTACTCAAGCGAAAACCTTTAGACTCTAAGGTTGACCTCCATAATTCAAGTTTACCTTCAACTCCCTCTCTAGCCGCAACCTATGCTCCATAGCTCGCTCCCATAGTTTTAAAGTATGACACATTAACTTAATTCCTCTATAATTCATACAATCTTGTGCATCACCTTTTATTCTTAAAAATAGGAATTAACACACTCATCCTCCACTCATTTGGCATCTTTTTAGTCTTCAAAATAGTATTAAAAAGTTTAGTAAGCCAAGAAATCCCTTCATCTCCTAAGCATTTCCACACTTCTATTGGAATATCATCAGGTCCAACAGCTTTTCCACCCTTCATTTTCTTTAAAGCCTCTCTAACTTCAGTTTTACTAATACGCCGATAAAAATAGAAATCTTTATTTTCATTTAGGGTGCTAAGGTCACTATAGTCAATCTTATTTTCACAATCTTCATTAAAAAGTTTAGCAAAATATCTCATCCACCTTTGTTGAATATCATCTTCTAAGAAAAGTATTTTTTGATCTTCATCCTTAATACACTTCACTTGAACTAAATCCTTAATACTCATATCTCTTTGTTTGGCTAACTTATACATATATCTTTTTCCCTCCTTAGTATCTAATCTATTATATAAATCACTAAAAGCTAATATATTTGCATCGCATATTGCTTTCTTAGAATCCTTACGAGCCACTTTATATATTTTCCAATTATCATAATTTTTAAAATTAAACCAATTTTTATAACAAATCTTCTTATTTTTAATCTTTTCTTGCACATTTGGATTTCACCACCAACTATTTTTACTATTAGGAGCTTTTCCCTTTGATGCTCCAAACACATCTTTTGCAATATTCTTAATATCACTAGCCACTTTTTCCCACATAACATTGTTTTCCTCATGCACAGACAAAATCTTAAGATCTAAAATCTTACTCCCAAAAATATTTTTGTTAATATTCTTTAAATTTCTCCATCTAATCATAGAAAATATTTTTACTTTATTTTTTATTTTATGCCCCTTTATCTTAAAGTCCAAAACTAATAATCGATGTTGGGTATATAAATTTTCACTCGGAATAACTTTATAATCTCATTTGTAAGCAAATGCAAAATCTTTTTTTTTCGAGATCCATAAAACTAGGAATAATATAAAAATGAGGTCCATAAGCAACTCTAATGATGAATTAGTGCAAGTAAACTCATTTGTATGCAAATACAAAATACAAAATTTTGGACCTTTTTTCATGAGTCATAAAAGAATTTCGTAAATATTTATTTATCTTGTTAATTATTTTCCTGAAAATTACTTATGTTGACCTTTTTTAGTGGCAATAAGCATGCAATAAGATTCACATAATTTCAGTGGAGGTTTCTAAAGCTTAGATCAATGCAAGTAAAGATCTATCAAGTTTCAATCCAAATTTTCAATTGAGATTTCATACCCGTCAAACCGTGATTTTACTGATGCCTTTGAAGAGGACGATATGAATTTCTCGAGTAGAAAAGCATGGATGCGTTATGGAAGAAGTTATATTGCCTTGCAAAAGATTTTCAACTGTTTTTTAGTATCCAATCATATTTTTCTTTCATTCTTTTTTTTTTTTTAAGACTTCATTATTCTCCGTTCGTTTGAACCTTGATTTTATTATTTATTTGAACAATAAAATTATTGTTCACTGAAGATTCCTTAAGGATGTGTGCGTAGGAGAGATAATTAGTCAGGTATTAAAGGTGATTTAGGTTTTGGATTTGAATGGTATTTAGAACATCATTGTGATATATTTAAATTTTGAGCATTTGTTACTGATTTGCTCGAGGAAATCAAGGAGATTTAGGAGATAAGACGGTACTTTGAATACTAATTTTAATTTGAATAGAAAATTAAGCTGATTCTATGGAGGGTTGTTGGAGTGGAGAGAAAGCAGCCAATAAAGGATTAAACAATTGTCATGTTGCGTATACTATTTTGTAAACAATCATTTGGATTTTGGCATAAAAGGAAATTAATAAAGGATCTTCAACAATAAACATGCAATTTCATAGAATCCTTAACTAAAATTAAATAGTTATGCGCAAAATTCTTAGAAGAATTCAATCTAACATATCATCAGGTCGAAAATTTTCAAGTTGGGTAGATTTGATGTGATGGCTCTATATTATCTATTCCTATTGCTCCTCTGATGGTTCCTTCCTAAGGAGATAGCAAAGGTCGTTTCCCTTGCGTGTTGGATTTTTTATCGAGATTGTAGAATTTATGGCTTTGGTTACATTGGCAGGTACTGCGGTTGTTCCAACTCATCCGAGAATTTTTAGTGGCAATGTAGCTGAAGCTGGTATATATTATGCTGTTTCACTTTTCAGTGGTTGCATCATGAGATTTTATTTTGTTTCTATTTGATGATTATATTAGATTTTATTTTATTTTGTTTCTATTTGTGAAAAGGTTGGAGTCGCTCCAGTGGAAGATAAGATTAGAGAGAGCCGCCTTAGATGGTTAGGTCACATATAACAGCGGCCTTCCGATAACCTGGTTCGGAAAGTAGAGGTACTAGATTTGACTTATGTTAAGAAATGTAAAGGTAGACCTAAAAATTTTTGGTTAGAAAATATTAGAAATTATATTTCTTTATTAGATTTAAACAAGAATATGACTTCTAATAAAACAGAGAAAAAGGATTCATGCAACTGATCCCACATAGTGGGACAAAGGCTTGATGTTGTTGTTGTTGTTGTTCTATTTGATGATTATAATTAAGGATCTAAAATAAATAAATAGTTGATGTTGAATAAAGTCCTGGATTTAAAATTCCAGTAGAGGTTATATGTTTGTATAAGCACAAAGCTTGTGATAGGAAATACTTGAGTTCGCAAGTAATCCAAGAGGAAATACATGAGTTCGCAAGCAACCCTAGCAATAATTGGTAAAAACAGCAGGAGTAATGCGAAAATCTTGATGAAATCAATCCAAAACGTAGATTGTAATAATGGAATCAAAGCAAAAGCAAACACCAAGCAAGATGCAATTCATCCTCAATTCAAGAGGAGGATAATTCTCTCCCAATCTCTAGATGATGAATCTAGAGCTCAAAACGCCCAAAAAAACTCCAAGAGAACAACTCAAAGCATGCCTGCCCTAACCCTAACCTCCTCCTTTTAAATACATATCTTCCCCGGGTCAGCAGGAGTTGGGTTTGAAGCAGGTCAGGTCCAGGTCAAAGTTTATGACCCGTTTTACAAAACAGGTCGAGTATAGGTCGGGTGTTCTGAAGTCAGGTCAAATTTGGGTTGGCAGAACCCGATCCGAAAACCTATTTTAATACCCTTATAGACAATGACATAAACTCCTATATATGTAATAGTTGCCTGCCAGGACATGTTTTCTCAGTGATGGAGTAACATAGCGCAAATGTAGATAAGATCCACTCATTAGGCAAACTTAGATTCTCCCAAAATATGCTTGATAAATACAAGGGAAAAGAACAAATGTTCTAATGCAATACTAATTTATCCACAAAAAATAAGCATTTCCGGTAAGAATTTAAATGATGAGCTTGACGGGCTGATTTTCTTGTAAAGAGAGGGCTCGAGTGAACAAACCTTCTCCAGTGCCAAAGCAAGCTTGGAAAGACTGCGATATGTGCTTTTAGGATTCAGAAGAATCTGTGAAACATATGCAATGTAAGCTCTAAGTCTGTAATTCACCAGCCAAAGTACAATACATAAAAAAGGAAAAAAATAAAATTTAACATCTTACGAACAACTATCATATTCAGGATTAGGGAAGTTCTGTAAATATTCATACTAGAACTAAAAAGTACATTGAATGATGATAACGAAGATTAAGAGTAAACTACCTCACAAAGACGCTGCAATGTGAATGGAGGACCTTCTATAAAGCCTAAAAGAGCTGCAAAATATGATAATGATATAAACTATTAATGCGAGAGCTCAAATATCATATAAGGATATCATTATAACAACAATTAAAACGCCATTTTTTAAGATATGGGAATGCAACAACGATAACAAGAAAATCTCCACAAATAATATACAAATTTATACGATGCAAACTTACGCAAATCAAAAAGATGTTCCACCTATTTGTGAGAAGAAAAATAAAGCACAAATGCTAGCAAGGAGACTTGTGTTTTTAAAATAATAACCGAGTTATTTTGGGCATGATTTGACAGAGTAGATAAACCAAATAGTCTTACTTTGACTTTTAAAAATTAATTAATATTCTTATTCATTTTTATTGATTAGGAGGAAGATGACTTACACTGAAGACTGAGAAAGATTGGGAGAATATTTACACAACAGAGGATGAGAGCAGAGAGAAAGCAATTAACTAGAATGATAATTCTAATGCAGACCCAATAAGCAATGAGAGTGGGAGACTTTTGAATTCATAATTATAATCTCATACTACGTTTTGTCTTGAATTAGGAGTGAGAGCAACTTATAATTTAGTGTTGTAACGTTGTATTATTTTTATGGTATTATTTAACTTTTATGATATTGCTTAGACATCTTTGATGTTAGTATGTAAATTGTCATTTCATATTTTTCATTAATTAAATGATTTAATATTAAGCATCACCTCATGAAAAAAAAAAGCCTTAATAATCATGCAATTTCAAACCTTAGGGTTGGCCAATCAAGGATTGCTTCAATTTTTGAGGAAGTTGATTCTAAACCTTCAGAATACATCACAAAGCCAAGAAATAAAACTTCTGATTGCATAAATATGCACTTTTTGAAATTAATATATAGCTTTTCATCACTTGGACAATATTTGACATGGATGATCAAGAAGCTTAGCTTCATATGAGCTATAAATCAATATGAATCAAAGTACACTACCAGGAACTTACCAATCGTTGGCCTAAACACCTGATCAATCAATCTTTAAAAGTATGAGGTGTTTTGGATAATCCAAAAGGTACAATTGACCAATTCATATAACCAATCAATGTCTTAAAGATTTTTTTTCAATTAATCTTCAAGATCAATCTAGATTTGATTGCACCCACTGCACAAATAAACTTTTGAACATAACGATGAACAAGATCTCAAGCAAGCAGTCAAATCTGAGGAATTTGCACTTTATAATGGTAGTATTTATTGTGCTCAGCAACACACATATGCCAAGTATCATCCTTCTTTAAGATCAATAATTTGGTAAGAACACGCAGACTTAAAGTTTCTTAAGGAAATCCTATATCAGCCCGTTAACCTAGATTTTGACCTCAACATGATTTGTGGAGTTCATTCTTCAGTAAGGTTAATCTAATAAGAATGAACCCTTGAAGAAATCAATAGCATGTTGAAAAGCCCTCATAAATGGAAGCTCATGGACAATTCATAAGTAGTAATATCCCAAGATTTTGATAAAAAAGTTTATAACCATAGAAACTGTACGATTTTCAAAAGTAGGGAGATAAATTTCATGAGTGGTACAACAACAACAACATCAAGCCTTTATCTCACTACGTGGGGTCGGCTACATGAATCATTTTTCTCCATTGTGTTCTGTTAAGAGTCAAATCATCATTAAAATTTAATTAAAAAAATATCATTTCTTATTTTCTAGCCAAATCTTTTTAGGTTTACCTCTACCTTCTTAACATAGGCTAAATCCAATACATCTACTCTCTTAACTGGGTCATCGAAAGGCCGACATTTTAGGTGTCCAAATCATCTAAGGCAACTCTCTCTAATCTTATCTACCACTGGAGCTACTCTAACCTTTTCACAAATATACTCATTTTGCATTTTGTCTCTAAGAGTGAAGCCACTCATCCACCTGAGCATCCTCATCTCTGCAACACTTAACTTAATTTTATGCTTTTTAATGGCCAACATTCTGCGCCATAAAGCATTGCATGTCTCACCACCATCTTATACAATTTTCACTTAAGTTTAGGGGTACTTTTCAATCACATTGATGCATTCCTCCACTTCAACCATCCAACTTAAATTATACTAATAATATCTTCATATATTTCACCATCACTTTATTAAGAGGTTTAATAAATGTATGACTTTCATAGGAGACCTACCTGGCATGAATCCAAATTGATTTTGAGAAACATGAGTATCACGTCATAATCTATACTCAATAACCCTCCCATGATGGTCTTTATAAATAATGTAAACTCCATGATGGCCCTCTAGAAGGCCTTTCGACCACAACATTAAAAACTAGAAGTGGATTGCAATGCGGTTGAAGCAATGGAAGACTTAGTCATAATCTCACATTGCTTGGCAGACAGAGAAGTATTAGCCATGACATTAGAATATTTGGTCGAACAAGAGATAATAATAGACGCTTAATCGGCTAGACAACGAGTAAAAGCTATAGTCTAGCCCTTAGCACTTCAATAAGAATAATCTTCATATCAAATCTAGGCTTGGGTAGTTGTGCAGATGAAGACCCAAAGATTTTTATAGAAAATAAAAGAATAAAGAAACCAATGAATTTAAAAACACATTTCCTCACTCATAATTGATAACGGTCATGTTATAAAGCCATTGAAGAACTAAATGGAAATGTGCAACATATATAGGAAAGACAAAAAATTAGATATTGTCTTTGAAACTACAGAATTGGATAGAAACTAGAAAATGCTCACTAACAACTAGGGATCTTTGGTTCACTCAAGCAACATCTAAAGGAGCGAGATGTGGTTTCATTTCTAAACTAACTCAAAGTTACTTCTGAGATAACATTCATTTAACTCCCATCATTGATGACTATTTTACGTATCTTCTCATTATAAGTTGCATGCAATAGAAAAATTCTAATGCTTTTCCAATCTTCGAGCGTTTGGTAATCAATGACTGATTGAGAACATTGCTTACAATTAAAGAGAGCTACATCAGGAAATCTCCTATGGTAGATTGGCAAATACTTCAGCCTCAAAATTCCATTAATCTCAGCCATATGGAGATGATGCAGGCTCCTTGTAAACCAATATAATGAATGTTGATAATTAGTATCAAGTATACGGTCAAACATTTTAATACAAATCTAATAATATCTAATCATAATCTTAAATTTAAATATATTCTAATCCAAAAGAAGATAACATGATTAAATAATTTAAATTAAAAGAAAATTATAATGAACATGAATGGCTTTAAAAGGCTTGAAAATGGGTTAAATTCAAATCTATTATGGAGCCGATGGCTTCTTTGGGTTTTGTACATTGTTTTGGCCTATTTGAAGGCTTGTACTTCATCAGGTGGCTTTTTCCTAAGCAATCATTTAAATAATGCCATTTATCACTTAACACAACATGTATTGCAGCCAAGTAATATCTTGTAAGAGCAAATCTATTGCATAATAGAGACGCTCGGGTTCTGAAATCACCTTCATCCAATCTCTTTACCAACTCGCGATATGTTTCGCCAGACAAAGAACTCTGTTGCTGTTCAGCGCCACTGCCTATCTGAGCTTCAGGGTATTCTGCCAATACCTTCATTGAATAATTGAAATTTGGATCACGTTTACACAAGTGGGATTGATTAGTCCCATAACGAGGCACTTCAATTATGAAGTCGACAAAGCATTTGCTGTTGGCAGAGATGGCCATACCTGCTTCAGTTGGAAAGACAACATGTTCTTCAACTCATCCCAATCATGCCTGCAGTAGAATTTTGAAGATAGTTATTCAGTTATGTAAAGGACAAAAAGCATTTCAGAATTAGCCAAATGTTACTCCAAAAAAATATAGATATACGACATAAATGCAAAGGACAAATTGCATAAGCATCACACAAAGGTTTCGTTCGGGACAACTTATTTGCTGCTTTCTAAAACGGCTTTTTAGAATTTTAATTAGAATTTTTTTTTCTAAAAAATAGTTTTATAAAGTAATAAAAAAACTATCCCAAACGAAGTCAAAATCTCCCGCAAAAAGAATACACAATTTCAAGAAACATAGAATAGATGGAATCCACATAATAACTAGCTATTCATATTACTATCATTGTCACAACTATAAAGTAGCGCAAATGGTAAGAATGTGTACGGATATGCTTTTGGCAGACGAAATCAGAAAAAGACTGCACTATGTCCCTTGCCCTAAACAAGACAATGCTATATTTCACCTTCAACACATAGTAATCAGTAGCAGCAGCCGTCTTATCCAGCCATTTAGAGCCTGCTTAATCAATTTTTCTTTGATTTTGATACCTATTAAGAGCTGCACCGGGGTTAATTTGAGTATAGCTAAATCGTTTTGAATTAGTTATAAATATGTGGAACTCGGCCAACCATTTTTCTTTGGTAGCCTGCACTTGTTTTACATGCTCAAACCATCTCAAATTTTCCCAGTACCTCTTTAAGTAGGTCTCACTATAATATTTATAAATCTAACCAGTTCAACCCTTGTCATTTTGTCTTTCACTAGATTCAGATGCATATTTAGAATAAAATAGCATTAGGAGTGACAGGCATCATGTCAGGACCCCAATTTCAACCAAAAATACTACAGTTGAAACTTAATGATTTAAGAATCTAACATGCAACTTTTCCAGGAGGAAGTAAATTATGATGCTTAACCCAGAAATGTTCCTTCTCACCATCCTACGGTTGCGGACTTGCAAGTTTCATGGATGTGTTTCAGAAATACTGCCCCATTTTCTGCTGATTCTAATCATTTGTGTATTTCAGTGAATCTACTGAGGAGAAACTGATGGGGACATCAGATCGTGGAGAGTCTATCAGACGTGGCCGTCGATCTACGGCCATGATTGAGTCATTGTATTTCTGAGTTGTTTTATGTATTTTCTTATTTATGATGTCATATTGTATTTGCTTTATTAGTTTCCCGTTGTACGTTTTTATTAAGGGAGGTCGTATGTAAACCCTAGGGGCATCGTCGTCCTTTTATTTTTGTAAGTCTTTGTACGAGGTTATTTATAGCCCTAATATTCTTCTTTTGAGATTAATGAATGATTGATTAAAATAATTCTTCTCTTTGCATGAGTTCTTGTAAGAGCTTGAGAGATCGGAGTGAGATCTCTAGGAGAGGGGGAATTGCGCATTTCCCACCAACCTTGACGAGTCGGGTTCGTGGTTATTCTTCCTTCTTCCCATCCTCTTTTCCCCTTCCCTAGACGCCGGTTTCAACCCCCACATCCCCACGGTTTCACCTTCCCACCGCCGGCCTCCATCCAGCCATCCGCCACCTCCCTTCATTCACCGGCCATCCACTTCCTCTCCAAGCACCTTTCCCCTTTCCCCCCTTCAACTATTCCTCCCTAAGTCCACCAAACCGCCGGCCCTAGCTCTCTTAGCCGACCTGTCCCGCTCATCTTCCCCTATTCCTTGAGTTTCCTAATTTAGTTGGAGTTAATTTAGGATCAATTGAATTTGAAATTCAAATTCTTTCCTAATTTTAACTAATCTATTTTTGAAAAGTTTCCATAAACAATTCCAAATCAAATTCTATTTGAATTTGATTTAATCCCTTGCCTAATTTAAGACTCCCTTGATTAGGCAACCCACTAATTAATTCCCTAAACCCCTCCTCACACCATGCCGCCGGCCCCCCTAGCCTAACCACCCCCTCTCTCTCTCCACTCCCTCTCTCTCTCTCTCATAAATTCCCCCCCCCCAAATTTGGGGAATTAAATTCCCCTCCTAATTTCTTTCCTCTTAATTTCAAAATATAAAATTTATTTCAAAATTTTGAATTTAATCATCTCCTCCAACCTAATCCTAACCCACGTGTGGCTCCCCTCTTTGGTCGAACCCTTCTCCTCTCCTTATCTCTTATTTCTTATGAGGATCCCCTTTCTCTCAAGAGATCTAAAAGCTTTGAAGGATGTCGCCGATACCACCACATACAACAAAGCAAATGCATGGCCGATCCGGAACTTGATTACGGCCTCTCCTATGACGAGCAAGGATTTGTTTGCATCTTACACTCGACCTTCTTCGACCTCAACCCGCGCATCGACCACACTGTAGAAGAGTACGGAGAGCGCAACTTGGATACCTTGGTCGAGGCTATTGAAGAGCAACTTGGAACCGTCGAGTGGAGGATTACAACCGATCCTTGACGAAGGTTTTCTAATCTCCTTCTTCTTATATTTCTTAAAGTCTAACCCCTTCCTTGTGATTTGATTTTAGTCATGAAGATTGTGTTTGCCTAATTCTGCCAAGCTTAGTAAACGTAGGGAATTGAGTGCACTTCATTTGTTTCTAATCTAATTGTTAGATTAGGGATTTTCGTTGAAGCTATTATATTTGCATGATATTATTTCCTATATTATTTTGATTATTCAAAGCTCTTGATGTGCAACTTAGCCTAAACGAAAATGACCACTCTTACGTTTTGTTTCATTGTTTTATTTGCTAATAGTTCTACTTGTTGGTACTCTAATCAATAAGTCGTGCAAGCTCTTTTCAAAATTATTTCAAGCATTGTAGTCCTACATCAGAAACACAAAAGAGTAGATTTGGCAAGCAACAAACCTCGCTGTACTTATTTTATGCTAATATCTATAGAGAAGGATCAGAATGTATTTAAAAGGTAGCGAAATAATCAGATTAAATTGGTAAAAGGCAAAAAACAAATATGAACAATAGTTAATGATGACCCGCCTGAGCTGCAATCCATTAGGTAAAGTTCCAATACAAGGAATACCTATTACTTCAAGATAGCCATGCCCTCTGAAATAAATAACAGCATGAACTTTTAAAGTATGTTCAGAGGAAAAAAAAAATGATACATAGATTATCAATGGTCGGTCAATGGTTGGATACCAGAACTTCCCAGTGGCAGCAATCACCTCCAGAATACTTCTAATCTCTTCAGGACTAGCATCAAGTTTCGGCTCTGCATCCCTGAAAGTAAAAATATAGGATTAAAGAATTTGAGCAATATAACATGAAATAAAAGAGCAACTTGAAAAATTTATAGCTGAAGCTTATTGTGAATGAAAATGGATTAAACTTTGTTAGGGAGATATCAAAAAAAGGGGCAAAAAAATTCTAAAAGAAAAATAAACTGTCAATACAAGCCCAGACACCCATCGCGCAAGACCAAATAATAATTACTCTCCATGTTTAAAAATGCTAATTACCCTAGGAAAATATATTTGTTAAGTATTTACAAATAACCACACAAGTCAAACAACCATAGGCTAAAGCTTGGATATGCATGTTAAGGCCTGATGGAGATAGAATGCCTCTTCATTCCCAAAATATGCTAATAATTAATACATGCTGGAAAAAAAAAACATACAGTTTTATGGATCCAGATTAACTTTCTCTTTAATTTTCTTGAGAATAAAAGAGAAATCAGCATATGGGGAATATATAGAGTTCAAGAGGGGAATCCAAAACATTGTGGGCTATGGCATGCATGTAGGAAGAAACACAAACCGCATGACAGATGCAAAAAATCAATGCCACTATGGATAAGATCGTAAAATAGAGGACGGTAATGGGATTCATGATTTGATTATTGTAGTGGAAACCTAGACTAAGTATGACAAGGTATCAAAGCTTTCAATGTAAATTAAATAATATCAACATAATATGAACTCATCGAAAAAAAATTGCAATGCTAGATCAAGGAGGGAGGATGATTAAGAAGTTCTCCAAAACGAATTAGAAAATACAAGACAAAAACTGGCACAAGCTCATTTGATCAAATAATCAACATTGAAGAATAGGAAGATGGATAAGCTCGCAGCAAATGAAATTCAATCCAAAATGATGAAACAGAGCATCACTCCAAGAATGCTCCACATGATGCCTTCATGATGTGAGTCCTAAGAAAATAGCATACCAGCTGAACAGTAGTTAGGGGTGGGGCCTCATAATTATCTTTTCTTTCATTAGGATAATTTATTTTCCTTCTTTTCTTGAAGGGGTAGATTTGTAACTATGGTTAATATAATCTTTAATAGGGTTGGCCTACTTAAACCCCTTTTACCTTTGGTAGAAGGCACTTATTTAGTTATTTTGAGTTTTGGTTTTAGGTTTCCTGAGTTTAGGAAGGAGTCCCCTTGTTTTGAAAAGGCAGAAAGAGGAGACTGTAGTGGAGAGCAGGCTTCCTCACAATTGATCGGAGCTTCTAGGTTTCTCACATGGCTGTTCTAGGAAGCATTCACTGATTCCAGTGACAGAAATCCAGCTAAGTATTTTTTTTCTCTTGGGCAGGGTTTCCTCCTAATGTTGATTGGAAAACAAGGATGACAGAAGAATATGCAGCTGAATTATGCAAAAAGGAATCCAAGGCCATCTAATTCTTGCATTATTGTCTATACATTTGTCTTTTCTTGCAGGTTCTTAGCAGCATTTTGGGAAAGAAAAAGGGATGTGTAGGAAGACAAAAATGTCAAGAACCTAGTTGGACTAAAGGGTGGATTTCAGCTGATGGGAGATTGGATAAGCTTAGAATTACAGTTTTTTACATACTACAGGGTCTTTGTTTTTCTTATTTCTTTCAACTAAGTTGTTTAATAAAACTTCATAGTCATTTAAATTTCTTATTTGCTTGCTGGATGTTGAGTTCTTAAGTGCAATGACTAATTTCTGAGAGAAGTAATCTTCTTGTAACAGCACGAGCCTTTGATTTTCTCCACTTGGTAAATCCTGACCTTGATCTTTTCATCAACATAATTCGTAATTAGTTTTACAAATATTCTTGACTTTAATCAAATATGATACAAAGTAGGTTTTGGATTCCAGTGTGAATTTCAATTGTTGTAATATCAATGGTAGCGATTGTATCACAAGGTTTCTTTGATTAAATCAACCATTAAACTATCGTTAGGCACAAATTCTTCATATTTTTTTTTATTGCATAGGAAGTTAATAAGTAATTAGATAAATTGTGATATTTGTTTATACGAGTTCCAAAACAAATTTGTGTAGCTTCACATTATGTATCATTTAATTGCATTAATAATAATAGACCTTAAGACATCCTATGTCAAGCAGATATTTTCAATATATATATATATATATATATGCAACTAATGCAAAATATGTGTGTGTACAAAGATATCATAACACAAAAAAGCATAATGCAACATATGCAACTAATTGAGAGGCAGTGAAAAACTGGTGGGGTTGAGACATGGTGTGTCCCCAACATTATGTCCTAGGTGTGTGATGGGATTATCCTGGACCAGTTCAACCAATTCCATTTTAGAAAAAGGTTAGGGCGGGTTTTTAGTGTCCTACAAGTCTTAAAAGTGTATTTGAGACATGTCAATATCCAATAGGAACATAAGGGGGCTCAATAAGAAGTGCGCTTCTGAATAGACCATCCATCTTTCATAACAATCTGATTTTGAAAAACAGCTCTACAAATTGTGGTTCATTAAATCCTGGCAACCAAACGGTACAACGCATAGCAACAAATGTCAAAAAAAAAAAAAAAGGTAAATCTCCACCCTCAAGTAGAAAAAAGTAGCCTTGGTCTTTAGGTCACATAATCATGGATGAGGCCAATATTTCACTAAACTTACATAAGTTTATGACAGTCCACATTTTCAGCAAGACAAAAGGCTTTAAGCACTGGTTCAAAGCATCCTAATTGAAGAGTAAAAAGAGCTGGTTTATTGAATTTATTAATAACCATCTGTTAGGCCTATTCAAATTTACAAAAGGCGGACCGGTGGGGTCTGCCCCCTTTAATGATGTCACCCATTTGTAGCAATGGGTAGAAGGGGTTTTGGGAGGCTAGTTTGAGAGGAAAAAGTTGAATGTGAGATGTTTGAAATTAGGACATGAATTGTATTAGTAAGGGGGCTGGTTGGAGGGAGTTTTCTCATACTTGAATATTTGTGTTCTCTTGAGTTCTTGGGTGTTTGGGCTCTAGATTGCTTTTCTAGAGATTTGGGAGAGAAAGATCCTCCTCTCGAATTGAGGATCGCTTGTATCTTACTTTGTCTTTATTTGGCTTGATTTTTTCATTGCAATCCATCGTTTGGGGACTGTTTTTCTGCCCAGATTTTGCATTATTCTCGCTGTTTTCACAAATTAGTGATAGGTTTGCTTGCGAACTCAAGTATTTCCCTTGGGGATTCTTGCGAACTCAAGTGTTTCCTATCAAATTGGTATCATAGCATCATTTTGGGACCATCGGCAACTAAATTTTTGAAATCTTTGAGGGTTTTTTGCATCCGGCAGAAGCTCTCTTGAGATCCTTGAGAAGAAAGATGGCCGAAAAGAAGGTCGAAGTGTTGGAAGGCGAAATTGGGCAAATAAATCGGATTTGGAGGAAAATTTCTTTGATTTTCAAAATCAAATCTCCTCCAACAATGAAAGGTTGGAAGGGAAGTGCACTTTAATGGAAGAGATGTTGAAGAAACTATTAGAGGTGAATACCAATCCGACAACATCGGAAGCAAGGGAGACCACCGGCGGCCATGGTATAGGAGGGAATCCGAATCCGTTTAGGGGGAGGAAAAATCCAGAAGTAGAGATCCTAGAGGGGGAGGATGACATGCCACCTCTAGAACCACTTTCTAGAGAAAAGATGAGCATGTGTTACAAAAAGAGGGGTGCTGATTTTGTGGGAAGAAGGGGGGATTTCCACCACTGAGGTACTGATTTTGAAAGAAGGAGAGGGAAAGTTGATGAGGACTATGGTTATGATCGCCGGAGGGAAGATCGTGATAGCTGGGGAGCACCTCCCGTTCGTGGCATGGGAGAATGTGGAGGATCCAGGGGCAACTGGGTTGACCCGAAGGTCAGAAAGTTGAAGATGCCCATCTTCGAGGGCGAGGATGGACATGGTTGGATATACAAGGTGGAACGGTACTTGTTCATCAATGGGGCTGACAGAGGAAAAGAAGCTGACAGCTAGGGGTGTCAATTTCGGGTCATGAGTCAGGTTCGGGTCGGACCCGGAACTGACCCGAGTTCAAACGGGTCGACCCTAACCCGACCCGGTTAGGTAAACGTGTCAGAAATGCGAACCGAACCCGACCCGGCGGGTTGCCGGGTTGACCCAACCCGACCCGGGAAAGCTGGTCGCGCTGGGCGAGTGAGGGCGGGGTCGCGCTGGGCGAGTGCAGGCGGGGACGCGCGCGGGGCGAGTGTGGGCGAAGTCGCGCTGAGCGAGTGCGGGCGGGGTCGCGCTGGACAAGTACAGGTGGGGTTGCGCGCGGAGAGGTCGCACGGTGTGGAGCGGTTGCGCGGGTCGCTCGGCACCGGGGCGTGGTCACGCCGTTTTTCGCGCGGCAATAGAAGAGATTTCGCACGGGTTAGGTTAAAACGGGTTCGCGGGTTGACCCGACAACCCATCGAGTCAATCCGAACCTGGCCCATTTTTCAAACGGGTCGGGTTCGGTCGATTTCTGGAACCCGAACCCGACCCGTTTTGAAATCGGGTCGGGTACAACCCGGATTTTTCGGTTCGGGTCTGAGTCGAGTTTTCGTGTCGTGTCAAATATTGACACCCCTACTAACAGCGGCAGGACTATGCTTGGAGGGAAAGGCACTGGCTTGGTACCAATAGCGGGACATGAGGCAACCCATCAGGAGCTGGAAAGAGTTCAAGGCGTGCTTACTGGAACGTTTTCGAACCGTAAAAGGAGGGGACTTCTATGAGCAATTCTTTGCCTTGACGTAAAAAGGGACAGTGGTAGAGTACCGTGATCGGTTTGAATACATAGCTAGCCGACTGGACCATCTATTTGAGACTGTGCTTGAGGGGAACTTCATGAAAGGGATCAAACCAAAGCTCATAGTAGTTGTTAGAGTGATGCGACTGCGCGACTTGGGGGAGGCCATGGAGTTGGCACAGCTCTTTCAGGACTAGAAGCATCTGGAGATGGGGGCTCGTGGCAGTAGTTCCGGGGGATCCTACAGGATGAATACTACTTTTCTAGCTCCCAAAGGAGCTATACCGGGAGGATCACGGGAAGTACCGAGGGAGAAGTCTGGAGGAGGAGGGCCTAGAGGACATTTTAAGAAACTGATAGAGAATGAGATCCAGGAGAAGCGGGCTAAGGGGTTGTGTTTCATGTGCGATGAGAAGTACATGTCAGGGCATAGGTGTAAGGACCGAACTCTTCAGGTTCTCACCGTCTGTGATGACGAGTAAGCTGAAGAGGGAGGTGGAAGCGGGTTAGAGACGGAAGAGGAGAAGAAGTTGCATTTGGATGTGGCAGAAGTCTCCCTAAACTCCTTAGTGAGATTCACTCCAAATCATACTATGAAGGTGAAGGGAGAGATAGTTGATAGGGATGTGGTAGTGTTGATAGATAGTGGGGCAACCCACAATTTCATCTCCACCCAAATTGTTGATCAATTGGAGGTGAAACTAGTGGAAACAGGAGGGTACGGGGGTGATGATGGACACCGAAAAGGTAGAAATGAACAGAGGAGTTTGTAGGGGAGTGGTGTTGACCATTCAGGGGATACAGGCGAGGGAGGATTTTCTTCCCTTTGAATTGGGGAGTACGGATGTCATCTTATGTTCTAGGTGACTTTGTAATGCATTTGAGCATATGCAGAAGAGCTTTTTTATATTACCATTTAGAATTTTGCATGTGTCGACTCACAACACCTACAACTAAGGTCTGGTCTAGTAATAGTAACATAAATCAATTTTCCATCAATTAATGAAAATGAGAGACATCTTCAAGCATTTCATTTTTATTTGCAATCTTATACGTGTCAACATGAGTAAAAAAAGATTTGAAACCTAACATAGAAATTTGTGCAAGTTACTGGTATACTTCCTCTAAGAGAAGGAAATTCCTCTTGTTGTATTAAATTTTATTCCTAAGAAGTATTTAGGGTGACCAAGATCTTTAGTCGGGAAAAACATTTGTACATAGTGATTTATTTTATTAACTCCATTTTAATCACTCCCAAAAAGAATGATGTCATCACCATAAATTGCCAAGATAAGAGTAGGTGAATTATATTATGACGAAGATGAAGTGACCTATTGTACCGACCTCCATATTATTAACTTTGGAAAATCAAACCAAGCTCAAGGACTTTGCTTAAGTCTATGTATGGCCTTCTTGATTATGCATATTATGGTGGCTTCACAAGGGTGAGCAACGAGAAAAGATGATGTCTCAAAAGAGAATTTAAAGAAGTAGGGAGAGGACTCATAAAAGGAGGCATCTATAAAACACGTTTGGTGGTGGAGTCATAACAATGGTAGCCTCTTCGAAAATGTAAGTATCCTAGAACAATAAATTTGAATGGCCCAAGAGATTTTGTCACTAGGTTGAAATGAATAGATAAAATAGTAATCCAAATACTTTAGATGTGAAAGAAAAAGAAAATTGTTTGAGCTAAAGAATAGATAATGGGGTGGCATTCCGACAAACAATAGATAGGATATAATTAATAAGATAGTATGCAATCAAACCTACAACACCCTAAAATAAATGTGGAACATTCATTCGAAAGATCAATGTTTAGGCTACAACGAGCAGTTGACAAAACTTGCATTCAACAATCTCATTTTGTTGAAATGTATAGGAACACAAAATATATTGATTGATCTCATTATCAATACTTAATGAGCAAAATTGAGACAATATAAATTCTAAAGCATTATTGGTGTGAAGAGTCTTAAGCATAGTAATGAACTCTATAGTAGGTGCAAAATATAGAAAATAATTAGAACTGATAGATAAGTAATTATACTCATGTGGCAAAAGAAGGTTTGCTAATGAAAATAAGTTTTTAAAGTCGAGGTAAGGACATGACTTAAACCTCAAATATTCAAATGGACTAACGCTACTAGGACTTCTATGTGAAAGAGCAAAAAGACATTCAATGATACTTATAGAGCTAGCAAACATTACATTCAAAATTGAACCATCTTATCTTTCCCTTTTGCTGCGCTCAAATCAGAATAAAGATAAAGGTTGAACTATGTATCAGTCTCTATTTTCTTTTCTCATTTTCAGTTCATCCCACGGAATACCTAAAATGACAGTCACCTTAACTCAATTTAACAGTAAATAAGTAATAACTTAAAACGTTGAAAAAGGAATCGGTTGAAGTTCAAGGACTACAGAATTTTGGATCTGGCCCATTTACAGAGATAAAAAGCAAAAACAATCTTGTACTTACTCATGATTTAAATTGTGTGCAACTTTTTCTTCTGAATGATGAACCAAATCATTAAAAGAAAGTGCTGCGGTATTTGAATCCTCTGTGACTTTGCTCTCCATTGCAGGCCCGTCCTCAGCACCCATGAAGAAATGTGTGCTGTGAAAGTCATGACATAGATTATTTACATAATATACAGAATGACTAATGCTTCTGGAACGTTAACAAGAAATTTTATAGATTTATTTCCCGAAAAAAAATCTAAGCTTGCATTTAGCAGGTCGACATTTCCAAAACTATATTGTGAAGTTTGCCTGCAAATTAGAAAAATTTGCAAGAAAATATACTCCGTTAGAAGGTTTAGGATAATCTAAGATGCCATTATTTTACCAATACCATTACAAAAGAAACAATTCTCTAAAATACTAGAGAGGATAGAAAACAACTTCTAATGGAGCAAGAATACCTTAGATTGCATCAGGCTAATGTAAATGCAAGATCATGCTCATTCCAATCTAGGTAACAACTAGCCACACAAGAAACAATGAACAGTTAAAATCAGTAAGATATGCATTGAAAACATAATTAGATATGTGCGTTAGGCCGGCCCCTCCTTGGCCGGCTAGACAGGTCCAACATAGACCGGTCCTCACTTATTCCAGGCGGGCCCCACATTGGGCGGACATGAGGAGAGGGGGGCAGATGCCTTGTGGGCCCATGCTTGGGTTTAATTCAAGCGTGGGGGGGAAAGTTTGAATGGAGGGGGGATTAGTCCCTAGTAGTGGTAAAAGAAAAAGGTATAAACCCATTTTCTAAATGATGAACAACAAATCAAGTGTACAACATATGAACTTTGAACCACTGAATCAAACAAATAAACATTGAGGGGCTGTTAAGCATCCTACTTTAGGTATGATGTTAGCAAGATTTAGTTTACATCCTGGCAAATAAAATTCAGGAAACTTTAAGTTCTAATATTTTAATAAAACTCATTCTAGCATCTTTATTGGTTAAACCAAGGATTTGTGAAACAACGCCAGCACGCAAACACCAGGATTCAACGAATTTCTCTCTCAAATCTAAATTCCTGAAAAAATAGCCGAATAATTTATCAGGGGTTCGCATGGTTCAACAGTTCCCATCTCATACAGTTTTCAGCTTTTAATTCTGACAAAATTTAATAAACCTGGTTCTGCATTCACTTTGCATAGCCAAACAGGCACAGCATCGAATTTAGCGAAAAACAATTTAATCCACTGAATAAAAAAAAATCAATATAGAAAGCGTTCGAGTTTAATTTAGCGGGCCAAGAAGAATGGGATTTCATCTTTCAAACAAATAATTAACCATAAAAATGACAGCAGAAAATATCTTTTGGGGAAAATCGAAAAGGAGATACCATCCATGTAGGCGTTTATGAAGATTAATGGTGTACTCCCTTGTCACGACCTCCTCTTTCCGACCTTTGCTCCCCTTCTCCACCATCCTTTCTGTGACGGCGCTTCGCTCCCTGAAAATACCGACCAGCTATTGGCGATGAAACCCTAGTTTGTGCGGGCGGAAGTCGTATTTGTATGGTTCGCTACAAGAATCCTGTGCACAGTTATTTGGCTAGAAAATGGGGACCACTGCCATATATATATATATATATATATATATATAGGCAATGACAATGTTAAACCAAGCACTTGAAGGTTAAAAATTCATGGCATCGTTTGAGGGGCCAAACAATCTCTAATTCTTGCATGATTTTAGTAAAAACAAGCATCTTGTCATCTTGATAAGAGGAATTACGAAAATAAGATCACTCAAATCTGATGAAATTTTGGCACTTAAATGCCTAAAGAACTCATTTATGATCAAAAGAATAAATATGGACCATTTGACTGAGTGTTTGGAGATTTTGGCTAAAATAATTAAAAAATCACTCTAAAAATGTATTAATAATCCTTTATTTTTCACATGAGATATATCTTGACCTGAAGTTTGAGAAAGCTATGCATGGCAATCTAGATTGGAGATCATCGCAGGTAAATATTATCGCATGACCACTTTTGACATCCTTTGTCGCCTACTATCACCCAACCGTTGTCAACTATTATCTCATGAGTGACGACATCTTTTAACATACCATTACTAATAAGGTCAATGCACGACTGACCGTCATTGACACAAATGCTAATGCACATCATTGCTAACAAGAAAAATACATCATCAATACCAATGTCGATACATGTCATTTCCAACAAGATTAATACACCTCATCGACACTAAGGTTGATGTGTAACAATCCAAAAAAATATGAAAAAAAAAAAATTAAATGAAAATTTGAATTTTTGTTTGCACTAGAGCGTTGCGGCGCTAGGCTTGAGAGCACCTTAGGGTGTGACATGATGCATGTCGTCAACATTAACATTGATGCATGTCATCGCCAATATGTATACTATCAACACCAAAATCAATGCTCGCTATTGCCAACAAGACTGATGAACGTCGTTAACATCAATGTCAAAGCATGTCATTGCCAAAAATTGTCAATGCCTAATATCAACACTAAGACTTATGCTACACTTTGTTGCTAATCTCCTCTCCTCTAAGGAGTACAATCGAACACACCTAAAATAATCTCTTGAATGCAACTCCAATGTCTTAAAGCTCCTCGAACTTCCACCATAGAACTCACTCTTCACAATTCATGTTAACTATATTATGTCAACTTCTTCCCCAATCGTGGGAAAAAAACATCATTTGTAATATATAATATACATTAGTGAAATCATTCCAACTAAACAAATCCCCAAAATGTATCTCTTTTCAAAATTCTGAGTAAAAAACTATTGCTTACCATGAACTACTCTCAACTTATCTTATCTATTTGGGTGAAAAATCATCATATAATACTAAGATGATAAAATCTCTCTACTTTTGTGAATATTCAAACATGCAACAATCATATCCCCATAATTTTCAAGCAATTCATAAACATACCGATATACACGGGAGAAAAAGTCTTGGATTAACAAGATTATCAATATAAACTATTGGAAAGAAAAGGAATGCTTCATTTCCTTCTCCATAAAATCTAATTTCTGAAAACTAATAAGTTTTGGAGCACAAACAAGTCTCAACCCTGACTTCTTATCAAACTCATCTCAACAATGAGCATTTTTTCCATTAATCATAAAATTGGACATTTAAGCAATAATCAAATTGGGCATTTAAGCAATAATCAAATTGGACATTTAAGCGAACCCTAAATACCTAGATAAAAGAGAAACTCACAAGCAAAATTCCTCCTTGAATAAATAGAAATACGAAAAAAAGGCCACCAGAAGGATTGAAGGAATGGGAAATGAGGTAGACTCCAGCAAAAAAGTCGAGGTTAGAGTTGCGACGGAGGAACCAGACGCCGCGAGCGGAAGTTCTGCCGCCAGCCTACGGTCTTGAAATGGCCACCCTAGAATGAAGAAGAAGGATCGATGATTCAGATGGTGGCAAAGCCAGCCGGTAGAACAGGAAGGCTCGAGGAAGAAGGGTATCAGCCAAACCGAGCGCCTCAGATTCTAGTGAAGCTTCTCTCTGGTCTCTGTATCCTCACCATAAAATTAATGATAATAATCTCATCGAAAGTTTTATAAGCAAAAATTGCATGATTAAGAGATCCATACCCTTCCACGGTTCCACCTAAACGGATTCGTACATTTGATCGAACCTCAATATTTATTCAAATAAAAATCTTTACTTTATTTATTTTTAATTCAATATGACGTTCATACAATCGGCAAATTATTGCGTCAGGTCACCTGACAGTGCTACAGTAAAGCGCAGATTACTGTAGACAGAGAGAGACCGAACGCAGAGAAAGCATCTCTGCGTTCGGTCACCTGACGCAATAATTTGCCCATACAATCATACCTCTATCCAAACACATCAAATTTTTCTAGAAAAACTCTTGGTTAAGTATTGATATTTCATCATAAAATTATCTTGATCGTGCACGAATCTCGATAAAAAATCAAGTTGGAAACTTCCAAAATTAAAATTAGGACCATCATTTCAGCAAACTTACAGTCGAACTCAACGTCTCAGAAATACAAACCCAATGGCACCAAATTCGATTCAATCCGAACCCAAATAAGTCCAAATCAAGGATCTGAAGCGCTAATGGAATGTTCGAACCACAATTTGGGTTACCAAACAATTCCCAAACATGACGTTCTTATAGTCGAATCGAGCGGCTCGACGAGACGAATGCAACAAACCTAAGATCGCCAAATTCCAACATCATTAAGACCTTCAAATGTCTGACAAATTATACATGATCAAGAGATTCAATATCGGCTGTCCATCCAACCACTCCTCATTTACCCTTGATCTCTCACCTATTTACGGGTCATGCCACTCTAGAAATCTACAAATAGACCCCTCCTTTCTTTTGAAATGGGAGGCTCCAAGCAAGAGAGCAAGAGAGAGATCGAAGATCGCTCATGACTCATCGCTCCTCCTCAACCACCGTCGAACTCCTGCCGGACCACCACTTGAGGCCCGAACTTTCGCCGGACCACCACCTGAGGCCCGGTCTTCCACCAGACCACCACTTGAGGCCATGTGCTCCACTAGGCCACCACCTTACGCCCGAACTTATACCAGACCACCACCTGAGGCTCGGACTACCACTTGAGGTCCTGTGCTCCACCAGGCCACCACTTGACACCCGGACTGCCGGACTACCGCTTGAGGCTCTGTGCTCCACCATGACACCACCTGAGGCCCGGTCTTTTGTTGGACCACTACCTAAGGTCTAGACTTCTGCCGGACTACCAACTGAGGTCTGGAATTTTGCTGGACCACCACTTGAGACCCGGACTTCTGCTAGACCATCACTTGAGGCCCTATGCTCCACCAGGCCACCACCTGAGGCCTGGAATTCTGCTGGACCACCACTTGAGGCCACGGGGCTCAATCAGGACACCACCTGATGCTTGGAGTTTTGCAGGACAACCACCTAAGTCTCAGATTTCTACCGGACAACCACTTGAGGCCCGAAATTCTATCGAACTACAAATTGAGACTAGGACTTTTGTCGGGCCACCACTTGACATCGAGAGTTCTCCCGGAGTACCACCCTTCTACTACTGTCTTTCGGACCCCTGTCCCCTGCCGACTATGCTCCTTCCGACCTCCATCACCAGACAACGATTTTTATGACCCGGTCTCCTACCTACTACAGTCTTTCGGACCCCTGTCCCCTACCGATTATGATCCTTACGACCTCCATCACCATACAATGGTCTTTCTGACCCTGATCTCCTACCAACTACAATCTTTCGGACCCCTGTCTCTTGCCGACTATGGCCCTTCCAACCAAACAAATATGTCTATGTTAATTATTTTAAACTCCCACCATATAATGCACTCTATATGATGTACATTTGTGACATCAAGCTAATACCTTCTCCTAAGGAAGGGCATCATTTGTAATTGACTGCAAATACTAGTTGGTTTATTCAAATTGGGCCATACCCCGTGATTTTTTCCCCTTTTCAGGGGTTTCCACGTAAAAACTCTGTTATCTCTTATAAACGCTACACTCTCTCTCTCTTATATGCTTGTGTGCTGGATCTTCATACAATGCTAAGACATTAAACTATATATTTCTCTACCGCCGCGAATACTCTATGACACAACAAGTATAAAAGAAAACCTTTTGACACAGTAAGTCATATTTACTTAGGCTTCATTTGGGATGGCTTTCTTACTATTTTCTAAAAGCAACTTTCTAGTTTATAGTATAAATAATTTTAGTTTAAAAAATTTAGGCTTCATTTGGGATGGCTTTTTTACTGCTTCTTAAAGTAGTTTTATAGTAAAAAATTGCAAAAGCAATAAATAGTAAGAAACTCATCACAAATGAAGTTGCTTTATAAAGCAATAAAAAAGTTGTCTCAAACTAAACCTTAGGCACTTATCATAAACTTACTATATATGCATTTTGGCTATGTTTATATAACTTGCTTATTTTTTTTAGCATTTGCGTCATATTCAGATCCTTAGTCCATTTAATATCTAAGCATATGATATTTTTCTTTAATGTTTAAAATCTATGAAATTTCTAAGTATTCAGAACATAAATGAACAGTTACACGTAATGAATAATGAGTTGGTTGTATCTACTCCATCAATTATTCTTTGTAATATAGAATGAGTACATTTTTAGCAGTTTGAGTCATTCAACACTTCTATATACTAAACGGAATGAGATCATAGACTTATGATAACTTGGTATGATGTAATGGTATGTTGTAATGGTTAATCATTATGATGATTAATACAACGTCATATCTAGGTCTTATACGATTTATAAAAAAATTATATGAATTTATCATATTAATTTAATTTTAAATATTCCAACTTAGTTCACTGACTTAAAATAAGGGGCCCACTCTCCCACCACACATTGCCCTAAACTACTTCCTATAAACATTTAACCACTTCTACTTGAAGGAATTTAGAATTTTCAATTGAAATATATATAGGAATGCTATTTACATCATGCATTCTTATTGTAAGAAAGGATTATTATGATTGAAAACCAAAATTTGAAAGGGTTTGGTGAAACATGTTTTTCCTCTCAGAGCTAGTGGCTAGTGACTTCCTTGGTGAGAGGTATTTCTTTTTGATAATTTCCTTCTATAGCTCAAGATATAGATAACTACTAAAACTACAAACCTTTGGAGAAATTAATTCTTAGGCTAAATCACACCAAGTGGTTATTGAAATGATTAAGACGAGGCTCACATTCTAAATTCGACTTTAGGAGTGTTTTAAATATGAAATTTTATGTATATTTCTTATCATTATCAAATCATAAATTTTGCTATAAATTGTGAACACTTTTAGATGCCACTATGCTAATAATTATTGCAATCAAAAGTATATTTCATGACAATATATAATGGGATGATGCATTTGACCTAATTTATTATTTATTCTATATATTAATCATGAAATATTATAAAGATAAATTGATTGAGAGATAATTGGAATGGACCTTAATTCCTTGGATCTACTTTTAGATTAATATAATACACATGTAATTTATACTATATTAATCTTAAAATAGATCAAATAACTTTCAAGAAAATCTCAATTAAATATTTGAAGAGGATATCACAATATTTTTTTCCTTTTTTATTTGCCCTACATCCCAAAAAAAAAAAAAAAAAAACTTTATAGGTCTTATGATTTATATGATTGGAGAAATACTTCCGCTATTTATATTTTTAAAGGAATATATTTGAAAGTTCAATTTGGATGAAATTAACCTCTATTGCATTCACAAACTTTTTATTGAACTCCATCGTGAAGGAAAGTTGTTCAAATGCAAACTTTAGTTTAACTATGGCTCAAATGTAGTTCAAACCTTTACTTGAACTCTAACATTTGAACCTCCATATGTCCCACGATGTCATTCCCAATGAGTTTCATCGACTACCGCTAATCTCATGATACCTTTCCATCGAGCTCTAACATGTAGACTACTCTTATGGCCACATGTAGCCAATCTCATTGTTGCTTTCGCTAGCATGCTCTGCCACACATCACTAGTCAAATGATGCATTCCCTAACAAGCATAGTCCCTCACATTCAATCAATCCCGACATTGCTTTCTCTTATGAGCCTTGTTGCTTGTTGTTAGTGAGCCCTATGTGCAATGCCTTCCTTGATGATTCATTTATAAAGCCTTCCTCATCAAGGTTCAAATGATAGAGCGATAAGTTGTCTTATGATGCATTATCAATGAGAGTTGAACTACGAAGATTTAAATCTCAGTTCAAATTCTTTTCACGATGAATTTCAATAATAAGTGCAAATATAAGAGTGATAGTTTTATAAAAACAAAATTCCAATCATAATTGTCACAAAAGAAAGTTACAAGTGGATACTTTTTTTCAATTATGTTTGTATTATAGGACTCATGTAGTAAAAGAAAAATAGGGTCAAGTTTATACATTTTTTCAACTATATTTGTACTCTAGGATGTGTAGTCAAATTTCCCTAAAATGCCCTGCTAAATTAGAACTTTTATTAGGTCCGGTGTAAGGACGTAGAGGAACGTCCGGTCGGAGGCAACATCCCGCCAAAAAACTCGATATTTGCTCGGTATTGCTAGATATTATTTGATAATAACGAGGAATACCGCTCTGTGAAGACCAATACTGAGTTATACCGAGCTATACCGAGTAATACTGAGTTGTACCGAGTTTTTCCTAGGTACAGCTTTTGTATAACTCGGTATAACACGATATTGGTCTTCACGTGATGATATTCCTCGTTATTGTTTGTTATTGCTCGGTGGGTATTTCTCATTTTTTGATGCGATTTGACCTCCGACCGGTCGGTGGAGGACGTAATAATTGTTCGCTAAATTGATCTACTCTGTTGGGCTCGGCCTGGTCCAAATCCTATCCCCTGCTTGCTCCTTAGCGGTGCATTTAGCTAGAAACGTTGAGGACATACTAGTAATTTCAAATTGCAACCCTAATGCCTCAAGCCGTCGCCGTCTTCAATATAAATGTTCATACATACCCTTTTTCTCAGCGCCTCCCTATTTGGATCGGCGGAGTTCGATCCAGCCTTTGTTAGTAAGATGAAGCCTGCAATTTATTTACTCGTTCTTCTTCTTTTTTGATCAATTTTTCTTCTTTGTCATTCTTCTATCGAGGCTTTGATGTGCAAATTACTACCTATTTTCTGAGAAGCGGAAGTTTTATTCCCTTCTCTGATTAAGTGTAACCAATGGATCCTACTGAGCCTCTCATGTTTCTATTTCGTGATCTTCGAATTCTTTTTTTTCCGTTTGCGGATCTAAATCACGTTGATGTGATGATATGATTTTCGGAAAGATTTTTCGAGACGACTAAATATATCAGACTACAATTATCTGATCAGCGGATTTATGCATTCTTTTGATTGTTTAAGTGTCTCGTCGTTTAGAATATGTTTTAAAAGATTGCAGATCCGTGTACCACTAAGCCGATGCGCTGGACCATTCGGGAAGAAGGTCGCATGGCACGGTGCACGGAGATTGATGATGGTCTGCATGTCTGCTCGCTAAGATGCCTTTGGGCTATGATCCGTCGGGCCTGGATTTGACCCATATTTTGTAAAATCTGCCGTGAATATGCACGATGCTCGAATCCCTTTCGCGTAGCTAATCTGATTTCTTTGGTTTTCAGGTTTAGTTTCGCTACTTTCTCTTAAGCTTTTCTGATCTGGTTTGCTTTTTGGCTAGGATTTCAATTGTAGATTTACTGTCTTAATTTTACCTTGTTGAGATGTCAATCAAGTTGATGTTAAGATCAGGATAAACATCAAATTTATCTTTCTGCAAATATTAGTTTCTGTATGATAACTTTTTTCACAATGTGGAAAAAAAATCGATAGGAAGCTAAACAACAACAGGCTGCAAGATGGATTTAGAAAGTTTTTGATGTTTTTATCATTTAGCAGCTAGCAGTTTTGCTACTAGAATTAAATTCTTGTAGGCAGTACAAACCAAAATCAGTTGCAAGAATCTGATTCCAGTTCAAAAAAACTTTTCATCTATGGGTCAACCTTGATCTCAATTTCTTTATTAGTTATATAAGAATTGATGCAGGTGATTACATGTGAACTTATTCAATAGAAACAAATCATTCAAAAATAGCTTGAAAGAATTTGAACGGAATAAAATATGCAGCACGGGCCTCTAGCAAAAATTGAAGAAATGAAGTTGAGGAGATCAAGCTGAAATTTAGATAGAAGTCCTCCTTCACCGACGATCCACATTGATAGTTTAAAACTCTCAATCTTCCAGTAGAATCCTCTGTGATTTCTGCTAATAAATCACACTGTAACAAACTTTTTGGGACTGTTTGGCAACCAGCAGGATTCAACTCATGAGGGATTTACGAAAAAGTTGTTTGGCATTTATGTTAAATTTTGACAAATTGATTGACTACATGTTGGTTTATCAACATCTTCATCAAGTACATTATAAGTAGTTTATCTGATGAAAACTGGAACAAAAAGAATTAATTTTGATGTAAAAGCTGTGTAAGATTTTTTTTTTTTTGGAACCGGCAATAAAAACTACAGTACTGCACCATCGTGAATTTCATAATTTTGATATTCTCATACAATGTTTTTCTGAAGCTTTATCTTCCATCTCATCATTCTATGCACAACAGCATTCTTTAATTACCCATCCACAGAATCAATCAACAAAGTAACCAAGGCTTAATTAAATATAATAAAAAGTTATGAACGTTAGGAAATTTTATTATTTTATAAATTAATTATTAAATAGGTTAATTATTATCATATATTTTATCTTTTTAAATATAATAAATCTAAGAAAATGTTTAAAAAAAGTATTAATATCGATCTGAAGTTTTACTGAACAAAATTAATGAAATATTCGAATAATTATACATTCAATTTATGTTGAGTCAATGATCTATCACGAAGATTTTTAGTGAAAGATATTGTTCTATAGCTTTGACATTAAAAATCCGTATAGTATATATTTAATAAACGTAGGGTCAAATAAAAGGCCATATTGGTTAATTAATTTTAAATTAATATTTATTTTGCACAAAAGAAAATTTTAAATTTGCATGTAAATAAATATATTTATTTATTCTTTGCTTTTAAATAAGTCTTATGATTTATATCAGAATTTATGATGACATTTTATTTAGAAATTTATTATCTCAATGAAAATTTATGAGAATAATTTATTTTCGTCATGAATTAAGTTGGTATCTCCCCCAAGAATTGGCTCAACTGTTTTAATTACTAAGTTTTTTTTTTAGTAAGTGATTAAGATGGTGATCATGTTGAGAATTTTATGAGAATTGGATTACACTTGTGTTGGTTAGTAAAAGATCCATGAACATAAGGAGGGATAAAATGTCTCTGGAATTTTTTTGATCTATTATAATTTTTGTTAGTGCTTCTTAGATGAGCTCAAAATATGCTTACAAAATGAATGTGGTTAAAAAAATCATATTAAATAAGTTGAAATCATGCTTCAATTATTAAGAATCATATTTCCTATAGTAAGTCAATTCAAATCCTGTTTTAATTTATCAGAAAATTCAAATTTTTAGGGGCCCCTTGAGCATAAGGCAGTTCCGCCCTTGATGATGATGATATGATATGGATAGTTTATTCTTGTTGGGTCTGAAAGTATAACCACACGGTGAAAAAAAAATGAAAAAGAAAGAACATTAGGATTTAACATATTTTGAACCAAACAAATCCTCTATGAAAATGAAGAAAAATTTATGCACATCTTTCTTCTTGCTCACTCTCTCCTCTCTTGTATCGTTCTCAACTTATATCTAAATAAGAGATACACAACCACAATGGGATGCAACCCTTGAAACGCTACAATGCTCCACATTATGTTTTTTTTTCCAAGCTGGAGCACTCGGGTACCTAATGGGCGCTTGGATACAAAACGTTGGGCGCTTAGGTATCCATTGTCAGACATTGTAGGAAAAAAGAATTTCGGTTTCACAGCACTTGAAACCAAGTAAGGGGAGGACCCCCTTGTGACCCTGCAATGAGCTCAAAATATTACTCATATAAGACAACAATACAATTCTATTGATCAACATAATCAAATTCCATATAGGACTACCAATTCTATCAAAGTTCGAGTAATTAAATATGATTTGATTATAATGTGGCGCCTTCAAAATGCGGCGATCTTGTCATGATCGATCGTCTCCCTTGGCCTCAATCGTTAGTTCATGAAACATCAATCTTAATAAAATCATTGAAGATATACTTAATTAGAAGCAATAATAATTAAACTTTTATTTTATTTATCAATAGTACTTAATAGAGAACGTTACATTGAATCCATGCATTAAGAAATCAATTGAACTCAGACATCTTATTTATATCGATCTCCACACTCAAAATCCCCCATACATCCTTCAAACAAGCAAACAGGAAAGTACCGATCGGCCCTGCAGCTTTATGGGTAGATGCAAGTTCCTGATGCTGCAAAAAACCATTATAAGACAATAATTAATATCAAAAACTGTATTAAAATATTACTCTTAAAAGAGTTACAGAAAACTGATCCTTACAGGGATCTGATAATGAGAACATTGCGTCGCCACCAAAGTTGCAAGCGCTGGTCCGAGAAGAATGAGCCTTGTAATATAGATTGAAGACCACAGAAGCATGGCTTACGAGATCATTTGGTTGATAGCAAGATCCACCTGGTTGTATTGAGCTGCAATCAATCCATGAGCATATGATGTTAATCTCGTTCTGTAAGTTCCCAGGATTTGCGCCTGGATACGCTATGCACCATCTCTTTGCCTGCAATATTAGGAGAATATTCAATATTTTTCTGCAGGTTCCAGGAATTCTTTTGTTTTTACGTTCTCGCAGTTGGTAAAAATAAAGTAAATAACGTACGATAATCGGCTTCGTTACTGCATGCAGAGAACCTGGAAAATAGAAGAAGATATTTCAGTTTTGTCATAATTTTTTTTTATTATTTTTTTTTCAGTTTTGTCATAATGTATTGTATGTTGTTATTATTCTGACTGTAAGACAATTATGTTTCATATTATTTAATGTCTTTCATGCACTTTGTCTGGCTATTTTTTTTTTCATAATCTTGCAGTTAAAATATTTTAATCAAGTGATCAATGACAAAAATGAAATAAAAAAAACTGTCCTAAACGACGACTTGATGCCTCTTGCGAAGATGTTTTTTGAAAATTAAGGCTACTTTTGAGATGGTTTTTACTATTTCTTAAAGTAATTTTTTAGTGCAAAATTTAAACTTTTGTACTAAAAAATTATTTTAAGAATTAAAAAACCTGTTTCAAACGAAACTTAAGTAGCAAGCTCTCGCTGCTTGACCTTAGGGGTGTCAATTTGAGGTTACGGGTCCGGTTCGGGTCCAAAAATAGATAAAAAAAACAGGTCAAAATGGATCAACCTCGAGTTTCCGGGTCAAAAACGAATTTTTGGGTTAAAAACGGATCAATTTTGGATTTCTAGGTCAACTCAAACCCTACTTGATTTTTGAAATAGGTTGATTTGTTGAACCTACAATTAAATTAATTAAAATAAATGTAGAATTTACCAACAATTAAAAAATGATAAATATGACATATATACACACACTAATTTTATAATAGAATTAATATTAAATTATAATTGAAGCTTTGTTTAGATAAAACAATTGAAGCCATGTAATAATAATGAATATTATTAAGTAAAAAGGCTCTCGGATAACTTAATTTATGATTTTTTAGTTAAAAAAATTTAATCAATAAAATTTTTATTAAAAAATAAATTTGAAAAATAATGAAAAAATTGTACCAAAAGATATCATAAATAACATAATTTTACATTAAAGCTTGGTTTGGAATACCATTTTTTACCGTTACTTAAATTTAAAAAAATAGTAGGAAAGCCATCCCAAATAAAACCTAAAACTAAAAGCTTGCTATCTATAACGTTAAACCTGTATATATTACCGACTACAGGAGACGATAATTCAAAAATAATGGCCATAGCAGCCACAACGTATAGGAGACGAGTCGAAGCCATATTTCCTCGTAAAATTCTTCTCTCGCGTACAGTTGCAGAATCTCTATATGTGTGATGAACTCTGTCGTGTTTGCTTATATAATAAATCGTAAGGCTTTTATAGTGAAACTCTGTTGAGCGGCGAGGGGCTGTCGACGGTCGAGAGAGAACGACGGGGGGCAGTGACAACCTAACAGTGACTCTGCATTGCTACTGTCGGCCAAAAAAAGAATACTGCTGAGTTAGGCGCATTTTATTTGCAGTAAAAATAAGAATTTGAGTTTTTTTTTTGTTGGAACGGGATGTCTACCCGCTGCTATCTTTTTAGGAGGCGTTTGGTAGCGTAACTAATCCCTCGGACTCGAAACCGGTTGGATTCGGGTTCAACAATTCGACCCATTTCAAAAATCAGGTCTGGTTCTGGTTAACCTTTTGACCCGAAAGTGACCCGAAATCGATCCCTTTTTTACCTGAAAATCCAATTTTGAACCGAAGACCCGTTTTGACCCTAAAAGTGGAGTTCGACTCATTTTTTTGACCAAAAAATTAACAATTTTTTTTACGATTCTGAGTCATTCAAGTAGTATCAGGTTGACCCGGACCCGAAGCGGGTTAGGTTCGGGTCCAAAAAATCGACCCGTTTGCAAAAAAACGAGTCGGGTTCTGGTTGACCCGAATAGTGTCGGGTCAATTTCGGGTTCGACCCGAACTTGACCTGTGACCCGAAATTGACACCCCTATGTGCTACATCACCCTCTCGTTCATTACAGTTGTTCGGTACTGCTCGGTACCTCCCAGAATCACTGACGTTTTTGATTGGTCTCTGGACATAGAGCTGTGCCCGGCCTCCACACAAAATTATTTCTCCCCTTATAGACCTCTAAATCAAGATGTATTATTGATGTCTTTTGATGAATGAAGATATTTGAAAAAATTAATTCTATATCTTTTAGGATTGTTTTTTTAAAAAAATTTAAATATTATGATGCCTATGCCTCCAAAAAATTTGAATGAAAAAAATTATATATTTTTTGAAAAATTTAAATGAAAAATTAGATAACTTTTGACTCTTACACTTTCTAAAATTTTTGTAAAAAAATCATGTATCTTATGAGGCTGAAGCATTAAGAGATTTTAAAATAAAAAAAAAAGGGATTTACATACACATCAGTACATCACATGATATCATTCTATTTATATATTTAATACCTAAAATTTTAATATTACATATATATCATCCATAATTTACTTCTAAATCAAATTTGGGTAGCTGAAATAAAATATATGAGCGGTAGCAATCAGTGCCAGGGCCATAATTTTTTGACATGAGGCTCAATTATAAATGCTAAAAAATCCTTAACCATTTTCTTCCGAGCTTGTGATTGGCATTGGCGGTTGTTAAAAAAAACTGTTAAACTTGCTACGTAAAAAAAATATTTTTAATAATATTGACAATGAATTGATTGCACAACGATTTTAAAGTATAAAGGTTCGAAGGGTAAAACTATAGGTGTATTTTTAATTGTGAGTTTTTTATCAGAGGGGACTTTA